CGAGGCGTCTCTGCCGGGCGGACGCCGTCCGCGGGCCCCGGTGCATGGATGCTGGGCCGGTGATTTGACAAATGGTTTTGGGCAAGAGGAATCTGCCTCCCGGCTTTGCCGCGCGCCCCGGCCCGCCGGTCTGCCCCGAGCGGGAGCGGGGCTCCAGCTGCGTTGGTCCCCCCGGGCGGAGTCAGCGGGCCTGAAATGGCCGCAGCGGCGTCCCTTTGACTTCAGCCGGGCTGAGTCAGTGGGAGCCGCAGGCGGCTTGTGCCGAGCCCAGCGTCCGGCCCGGTTCCTCCTCGGTCTGGCTGCAACCCGAGCCCTCCGGGCTGCTCGAGTCAGTGATTTTGCAGCCGGGATGTTTTTCCCCCTTCCCTCAACCTTGCGGAGGAGCGGGGACGCGCAGTAATGCCCTGCAGCTACACAAACACGGCTGGGTTTGAGATGCCACCTGGGGAGGGCGGTTGCATCAGCAGGTTTTGCAAAGTGTTGAGCAAAACAACCATTGCCGCAGGAAATGGGTTTTCTTCACCCCAGATTGCTTCACCGCTCCGCTCCTTCCCAGCAGCCCGGCAGGCTCGGCACGAGGTGCCAGGAACACTCCCCAGGGATCCGGCCGGGCTGGCCGGGCCTCTCGTCTGGGCCCTGGCCGCCCTGCCTCCCTCCCTCCTGCCCCACGAGCTGCGGCTCGTCTGGTCTCTGCCGCGCTCCTGGCCCCAGGGCAGGCTGCGGCCGCTGGTCCCACGGGGTCTCGTCAGGCTGAAAGTCCCCTCAGGCCGCGCTGGAGGCTGGAATTTCCTCGTTCCCAGTAAAAGTGCTAACAGCAGCAGGGCCGCTGGGGCTGCTGCCCCCAGTGTTTTTGCTTTCGACTCCAATCCTGTGGCTTTGTTCCCAGAACCTGAGGCCTGGGGAGCCGCAGGCCAAGGCCACTGGATTGTAGCTCGTCCTGGGGCTGCTGATTCATCAGCGGTGGTCAGCGCTCGGAGCAGGGATCAGCACATTACTGACATGGGAGTGCAAATCGCGAGGTGGCAGGGCAGCGTGGCCAGGCACAACCCCTGGGCAGGCGCCCGCTCCATGCCCCAGTGACCCCGGTCAGCCGCGGCCTGGCCGTGCACCTGCCGCGCCATGCGAGTCTGAGCCATTGCCTCCAGCATGCCCTGGTACCCAGGTGTGCGGCACCTGCCACGTGGCTCCCGGCATCCCAGCACAGGGAGCTTTCCCGGCGGGACAGACCCCCGTTGCTCCCTTTCTGCCGCGGCTCCTTTACCTCCAGCTGCCCCGTCGGCGTCGTCTTCGCACTCGTTCCTCTACACGTGGCGCGGGTTAGCAGGTGCCATCAAGACTGTGGTAGCCACGGTGCTGTCTGTGCCCACTTTGGGTGCCTTCCTCCCCATGTGCGCCACTCAATCACTAGTCCCAGGTGAGGGCCCTGGCTTGGGCAGGATGTCTCCCCCTCCCCTCATATCCAGTCCAGTTGGCAGCAGCCCCATGGCCCTGCACTGGCTCTGGGTCCGACCCTCACGTGGCCCCTGCTTTGCACACATGGAAATGGCATGTGGAGTTGCAAGGCCCGATTTGGGGCTGTGCCTGCTTCGCTGAGGGTCTGTGAGCGGCACCGGAAGAGCAGCACAGAGCCAGGCAGGGGTGCCCGGGTGGCGCCTAGTGGGCAGGTCTGCAGGGCTGGGGGCAGATGGGGCAAGGATTCCCCCAACTGTGGCAGAAGGTTGGCAGTGATGAGGCAGGGGGCTGGCATGGGACCTGCACCCATGCAGGGAGTGCTGGCAGGGGCAGAGAAGGCAGCAGGCCCCTGTGCTGGGCCATCTGCTCCTGAAATGTCCTTGGCCCCAGCCGGCTCACGCAGGCCTGGGAGCTGGTTTGCTGGGGCCAGGGGTGGCTGCGGGGTGCCCAGGGGCAGGCTGTGGAGCTCCGGCACTGGGCACCCCCAGAGAGACTTGCTGTTCAGGCTCTGGAGGCTGCATGCTGAGCTGGTGGAGGGACCCCAGCCCCGCGGGCACTAAGTGCTGGGCATGGGAAGCCACGGTGCCGGGCGCTGCAGCCTGGGGTGATGGGGCCCAGGCGCCACAGGCCCGGCTCAGTCTCTGCTGCTGGTGTGCTGCTGGGCTGCCCAGTGCTGTGTCCAGTCAGCCGGCTCCCGGAGTGGCACGACACCATGGGAAGTGTCGAACCACTTCCCATGGCACCTGCGCCTGACGCTGCGCTGTGTCACCAACACCAGACACTGACTCCCGTCACTGCTTCCCCTCTCCTGCGCCCGTGCATCCTGCTGCTGCGGTGTCCCCTCGCACGCAGCCCCGCCGCCCCAGCACTTTTGCTCTGCGTTCTCAGAGGCCCTGGCACGTAACGCTGAGCCATCTGGGAAAGGGGGCAGCAGCCTGGGACCTTGCACTTGCCCCATGAGTTGTACCTCTTGTCTTGCCCCGCCTGAGCTTCCATCCAGGGACCCCGGGGACCGCGTCCCTCCTGCCCCCGTGCATCGACTCCCGCCACTGGGTCCCAGATAGGCAGTTGCCCAAGCCAGGCTCCTAGGGGGTGACGGCACTGCGCAGGGGGGGCCATCCCTGCTGCTGGCACGTTGGGCAGGAAGACCTCAGTAAGAGCCCGGGGGCAGCTGCTGCCAGTGATGCAGTCTTCCTCTTTCGGCGCAGGAAGGGTCTGCTCTGGCTGTCTGGGAACCCTGCCTGCGGCGCCTGGCACGCTGAGGCACCGACTGGAAGCGCTTCCGGCTGATGCCAGCCTGTGTCACGTCCGGGACCCTGGGCAACTGCCTGGGCTCGGGCCTTGCTCCCTATGGCCAGGCCGGCTTGCCCCCCATGGTGCTGCATGCACGCAGCTGCTCCGGGGCCCCGTGCCCGGCTGCCCACAGTTCTCCCCATCCCTCTGCAGCGGCAGGGCCTGGCCTGCTGTGCGCCCCGCGACTGCTCTGTGGGCCAGCACGGGGCAGCCGGAGCCAGGGCTGGGCCTGGCCGGGCTGCAGCCGCACCCCTGGGTGCAGGAGGTCCCGGCCGCGGGTGGAATTCCCCCACGATGCCCTGCGGATCCCAGCCCGCGCCAGACACGGGGGCGAGGTTTCGCCTGCTGCTGCTGGGGCCCCGTCCCAGTGCTTTCTCTGCATCTGAGGAGTCACTGAAAATCCCCAGGTGCTGATGCCAGAGGAAGCTGCTCAGTGCAGCCGTGAGTCAGTGGGAGCGGCCAGCCCGGGGGAGGCGTGCAGGTCCCTCCGCTTCCCCTGAGCGGCCACGTGACCCTGCTGCACCCAGACAGCCCCCTCCTGCGTCCCCAGGGCCAGCCGGCCCGTGCAGAGGGACGGCACGCCCAGGCCAGGATGCCCCGGATGCAGCCGGCCGTGCCTGTGCACGCTTCGTGCCTGGGCTGGTCCCGGCAGGTGCGCTGGAGCCTGGCCCCTTGAACTTCCGGGGGCCGGACAGGCCCCAACCAGTCTGCTGGGGAGTCCTGGGGGCGCCTGCTCCCCGCCACCCTGCTGTGGACGGGGCACGCGCCAGGCCGACAGCCGCACAGCGCCGTGCCCGGGGCAGGTGGGGGTGGAGCGCCCGGCGCTGAGGGGCAGCCGCTGGGCTGCACGGCCGGGGCCCAGCCTACGCCTGCCTGGCGCGGAGCTGCCTTGTTTACCGGCCGGTGCCAGGGAGGTTCCCCATGTGGAAACTTCCTGTGGGAAGGACGGGCTGCTGCTCTTGCAGGGCTGCGGTGTGGCATGAGGCAACAGCCCTGCCGGCAGCACTAGGGCTCCAGCCCCATGGCGGGGTTGGGCTGGGCCAGCTACTTCTGCACCGCGTGTGCAGCTCCTGGCGCGCTGGCCTGGCAGCCATGTGTAGGGTGCCCCAGCCGCGTACCTGGACCGTCACTGTAATGCCCAGGTGCTCGCTGCCCTGCCCCGTCCTCACCCCCCGGCCTGCGGGACTCGCTGCCACCAGGGCTCAGCAGGTCCCAGGGGCCGGCGGGTCTTGGGCACCAGGAGCGGCCAGAGCTGCCCCAGTGACGCTCCGAGCAGCGGGTGCAGGGGCAGAGTTAGCCCCCCTGCCGGGCACGCGGCACTGGCCAGGCCTGGGCCTGCTGTCCAAGGCCGCGGGGCTGTGGCAGGGGCTGACTGCTGAGCCCCCTGGAGCTGGGGCTGTTGCCCGGTGGGCTCCCCCTTCCCCCCCTCCAGCCGTCCCGTTTCCTGTCCTGCTGCCTGTTTGCTCCCCGCGGTTGCGCTCGCTCGTTCCCACAGCGTCTGCACTTCAGGGCGAGCAGGAAATCGGTGGCCTGGAGGGTGGTTTTGCTGCTGGGGAGAAGGGGGGCCATGAGCACAGCTGGCGGGGCAGGGGCACACCTGGGGCACAGCTGCCAGCGCAGGCCCGGCTGCAGCGGTGGGGAAGGCCCAGGGCGTGTGGGCCTGCTCCTGGCTCAGGCGGGTGCCCCGTGCTAATGTGGTGCCCGCAGCCCACCCTGCGCCCGCACTGTCCTCGCAGGGCTCAGCTCATGCGCAAGGTTCCTGCCGCGGCTGTGGGGACAGTGCCCCAGACTGAGGCGAGGGAGCTGGCAGCGCTGCGGGCTCAGGGCTGAGATGCCTGCCAGGCACGAGGGTTTAAGGGCACTGATGGCACCGACCTGTCCTTCTCGGTGCCGGGCATGGCTGCCCACGGCGCTGGAGCTGGACCCAGCGTGCCGCAGCGCCGCACACGGAGCTGGTGGCTCCGGCAGGTCTGGGGTCCCCGGCCCCGCGACATCCACCCAGCCGCTGCCCCAGGTGCAGGCCAGGCCCAGCTCCTCCCTCCCGCGTCCTCAAGCTTCCTGTGGGCAGCGGGAGGGAGCAAGCGGGCTCCAGATTTAGTAAACAAGGTTTTGAAACAGCTGAGGTGCCGCCGCGACGGCCTGTGCCGTTTCGCCACCAGGGAGTGAGTAGCCGGCACAGCTGAGCGTGACTCACCCCCGCCCGTGCTATAAGTAGGAGCCGGCAGCGCCGAGCCGCACAGAGCCCCAGGGCAGCAGCATCGGCAGCGCAGAGACCGACCCGACCCGACCCGACTCCACCGCACCCTTGCCATGGGGCTTGCACTGCTGGCCCCCCTCGCCACGGCTCTCCTGGCCCTCGGCTGCTGGGCTGGACCGCTGCCCGCCAAGCCCCAGGTCACCATCACCTTCCCCGGGGAGCTGGTCAGCCAGAAGTCGAACATGGAGCTGGCCAACGTGAGTGCTGCCCTTGCCCCATAGCTTCATAGATGTTAGGGTCGGAAGGGACCTCAATAGATCATCGAGTCCGACCCCCTGCATAGGCAGGAAAGAGAGCTGGGTCTAGATGACCCCAGCTAGATGCCTGTCTAACCTCCTCTTGAAGACCCCCAGGGTAGGGGAGAGCACCACCTCCCTTGGGAGCCCCTTCCAGACCCTGGCCACTCGAACTATGCCCGAGCCAGGCCAGTCGATCCCCGGCTGCAGCTGCCCCGGGGTCACCTGTTTGTCTGTCTGCCCTGCTCCACGGCAGACCAAGCAGGGAAGGAGGAGGGTGAGCAGGGGCCAGCGCTTCAGCGGGGAGCGTCCGTGGGCACCTGCCCGGTGGTGGCAGAGGGGCAGCAGGGTCCTGGTCCAGCTGGGTCCTAGGCTCCAGCCCCAGCCGGCCCAGCTGCGTGTGGGAGCTGTGCCCCTAAAGGCAGCAGGACGGGACGTCAGCCCCATACCCCCAGTGCCCACTGGCCACAGAGGCTGGTGTGCCGCCACAGAGGCTGGCGCAGGCACGCTGTGCCCAGCTGTGCCATGTGCTGACAGCCCTGACCCCCCGCAGGAATACCTGTCCCGCTTCGGCTACCTCTCGGAGACGAAGAAGAGCGGGCGGCAGGAGTCCACCACCAAGGCGCTGCGGGCCATGCAGAAGAAGCTGGGCCTGGAAGTGACGGGGGAGCTGGACCAGGCCACAATGGAGGCCATGCGGGCGCCACGCTGCGGCGTGCCCGATGTCGGCTCCTTTCTTACCTTCGAGGGGAATCTCAAGTGGGACCACACCGACCTCACATACCGGTGAGCTGCTCCCGCAGGCTGGACCACAGAGCCCTGGGCAGGCGGGGGGGAGCTGGGGAGAGGCAGGCGTGCTTCCTGTGCACACAGCACAAGCACGTGTACATGCACACCCATGCACGCGCACGCCCAGTACAGCCCAGCTCTGACTGCCCAGCAGCCCCTTCGGGCTGACTCCCTGGGCCCTGCGGGCAGCCAGCTGTGGGGCACTGCCCTGAGGCTGGGCACCGCGGGGGCCAGCACCGGGCGCAGTCACCAGGCGCTGGCAGGCAGCTCCCCCTCTCTGCCTCCCGGGGCCCCGTCCCATGGGCTCGGGCCGGGGGGGTCCTCCCAGGGCTCAGGGCCGTGGGTCTGACGCTGCTCCCCGGCAGGGTGACGAACTATTCCCCGGACCTGGACGCCTCGGTGATCAACGATGCCTTCAAGCGTGCCTTCAAGGTGTGGAGCGCCGTGACCCCGCTGACCTTCACCCAAGTCTACAGTGGCGAGGCCGACATCATGATCATGTTCGGCTCCCAGGGTGAGGCCCGTGGCCGGGGCGGGTGGGGGGGGCTGCACCTGCTGCGGGGCAGCCTCTGGGTCACGCTCCCCGCCGCGTGTCTGGCGTGTTCTCTCTCCTGCTGCCTTCCCTAGGGCGGTGATGGTGCCTGTGTGTGCACGGGGGTATCTGCAGGCAGGCGTGTGCCTGTGTGTGTACACACGTGTGCAGGAGGCAGTGGCACGTGTCTGTGGGGTGCGAGGAGGCGCGTGCGTGCAGGCCCCACGTCCTCTCGCGGGGACCGAGCTCTGGGGCAGGCGCATGGTGACGGCAGGCCTGTCTCCGCAGAGCATGGCGACGGGTATCCCTTTGACGGGAAGGACGGGCTCCTGGCCCATGCCTTCCCCCCGGGCCAGGGCATCCAGGGAGACGCCCACTTCGACGACGACGAGTTCTGGACGCTGGGAGCGGGGCTAGGTAAGGCCCGGCCCCCGCGGGGGTCTGCTGCGCTGGGCACGGCCGAGGGGATGCCCTCCTGCCCCGGTGCCGTGCAGTGACCCCTCCTCTCCCCGCAGTGGTGAACACCAGCTTCGGGAACGCCAACGGGGCCGCCTGCCACTTCCCCTTCGTCTTCGAGGGGAAGTCGTACTCGCACTGCACGGCGGAGGGGCGCGCCGACGGGCTGCCCTGGTGTTCCACCACCCCCAGCTTCGACCAAGACAAGCTCTACGGCTTCTGCCCCAGCGAGCGTGAGTATGGGGCGCGCCAGCCGGGCGGGGCACGGGGGCTGCAGGAGGCCGGCGTTGCCCAGCGGGACGGTCTCACCGCCTCCCCCCACCCCCGCAGTGCTCTACACCTACGGCGGGAACAGCGATGGGGCCAAGTGTGTCTTCCCCTTCGTCTTCGATGGCACGTCCTACAACACCTGCACTACGGACGGGCGCTCCGACGGCTACCGCTGGTGTGCTACCACTGCCAACTTCGACCAGGACAAGAAATACGGCTTCTGCCCCAATAGAGGTACTAGCCTGGAGCTGTGCTGGCACGGCAGTGTCAGCTCGGGGGGGGCCGGGGCCAGTGTCCCCATTGCCTACGAGCTCCCCCGTCCCCTCCAGGGCTGTCCGTCAGGCTCTGCCCAGCCCCGCGGGAACCCTTCTCTGCCCACGCTGCAAGGCAACGGCTCCGGCAATAGTCCAGTGCTGCAGCCTCTGCTCACTGCCGCGGGGTGGGGGAAGGCTCCGGCACCCGAGGGTCTCCCAGGGCCATGGCTCACTTGCAGACAGCTTGCCTGGGAGCCTTGGCCGGCGTTCAGACCTGGTGCCCACTGGCTGGGTCCACGCTGGGGCCGCAGGGAACATGTCTGCAAGCAGCCCCCTGGGGTTGGGGTCTCCTCGCATGGGGCGTCCCGGCCGGCCCAGGGCATTGCGCTGACCAGGGCCCCTCCTCTGTGCTGCAGACACGGCGGTGATCGGCGGAAACTCCCAGGGGGAACCGTGCGCCTTCCCCTTCACCTTCCTGGGCCAGACGTACAGCTCCTGCACCAGCGAGGGCCGGGAGGACGGGCGGCTCTGGTGCGCCACCACCAGCAACTACGACGTGGACCGCAAGTGGGGCTTGTGCCCAGACAGAGGTACAGCGCTCCCCGCCTCCGCCCTTTCCCTTCCCGGGCCCTCCTGGCGCTTCTCGAGCCCCCTCCTGCGGGTCCTGGCCGCACGCCAGAGGGGAGGGCTCCAGCGAGGCTGACCGTGGTGCTTGCTTTCCAGGGTACAGCATCTTCCTGGTGGCAGCCCACGAGTTCGGGCACTCCCTGGGCCTGGACCACACGAGCGTCCGCGAGGCGCTGATGTACCCCATGTACAGCTACATCGAGGACTTCCAGCTGCACCAGGACGACATCGATGGCATCCAGTTCCTCTATGGTGAGGGGCGGGCAGGCGCCAAGCCCAGGGGAGCAGGGGGGAGCCCCGCCCGGGTGGCACCGCTGGCACCTGCCCATCTCCAGCAGCCTCCGCTGCAGAGATGCTGCGGTTTCTTTGGCAGCGCTGCGCGGCACAGCCAGAGCGGCACCGACTGCCGGGCGCGTGTCTGGGAGCGAGCGGGGCGCAGGGCAGAGGCTGCTTGGGAGCCCCGAGTGCCCCTGCGCCGTGGCCGTGGTGCCCATGGTAGTGGGACCCCTGGAGCGCGGCCATCTCCGCCGGCCTCTTGCCACAAGGCAAATGCTGGGGCAGCGCGTGACCCCTCTTGCCCTGCTCCTGCACTGCCCCCTGCTACGGCTGGGTCCTGAGCCTCACTCTGTCCCCCTCTGCCAGGCCGGGGCTCTGGTCCCAAACCCACCCCGCCAGGGCCGGTGCCGCCCACCCAGACGCCGGACGTCCCTGACCAGACCACACTGGCCACGACCACGGAGGACGGTGGCTTCCAGCCCACCGAGCCCAGCCCTGTGGACCCCGGCAGTGACGCCTGCCGCGTGCAGGCCTTCGACGCCATCACCGAGATCAATGGCATGATGCACTTCTTCAAGAGCGGGTGAGCCAGGGAGCCGGCCGGTGCCTGGGGCTGGGATGAGGGGACTCAAGCTGGAGCACGGCGGGAGGTGGGGAGGGGACGCGCTGGTGGTTGCAGCCCGTCAGGATGTGGCCCACTCTGTCTGCAGGAAATACTGGAGGACCTCGCTGTCCCTGAAGGGCAAGATCCAGGGGCCCTTCCCCATCGCAGAGACTTGGCCGGCCCTGCCCGCCACCCTGGACGCCGCCTTCCAGGACGTGCTCACCAAGAAGATTTTCTTCTTTGCGGGTGAGAATCGCCTGAGCCCTGCCCGCTGCCCTCCTGGCTGCCCCCTCCGCCCCGAGCTGAGCCCCCCTCGCCCCCAGCACTCACGCTAGCTGCCCCAAACCCTCCCCGCTGTCGGGGCCAGTGCCTGCCCGGCTCCTGCAAAGCCAGAGGCAAGGACATGGCGGCTGTGGCTCTGGGAAGCTCAGGGACCCCTGGCAGGGCCAGACCCCTCCCCACCTCTGGACTGGCAGGTGTGATGCCCCCCTCCCCACCCAGGCCTTACCGCCAGTCCCCAAAGGGAGGGGAGGAAGGTACCTGGCGGGTGCAGGCTCAGCTCACTAGCTCCTGCCTCTCCCGCAGGCCAGCGGTTCTGGGTGTACACGGGCAAGAGCGTGCTGGGCCCCCGTGGGCTGGAGAAGCTGGGCCTGGCACCGGCACCGGCACACCTCACCGGAGCCCTGCAGCGGGGCCGTGGCAAGGTGCTGCTCTTCAGCGGGGAGCGCTTCTGGAGGCTGGACGTGAAGGTGCAGCGGGTGGACCGCGGCTACCCGCGCCAAACTGAGGAAACCTTTGGTGGCGTCCCTATTGATGCCCGCAACGTCTTCCTGTACCGAGGTGAGTGGCCTGCAGCTCCCAGGGGCAGGGCCGGGGGGCTGGGGCCCGGCTGCCCTGGGCTTCCCGGTGCGGGACGGCGTTGCCTGCCCCAGGCTCTGGGACCCCGGGGTGGGAGCTGGGGCTGTGCATGGCCTCTGCGGGAAGGGGCAGATCCCGCACCTGGGTGCCCTCCCCCCGGCTTGGCAGCTGGACCCCTCCTAACCCATGTTGGCCCCTTCCCTCTGCCCAGGCAAGTACCACTTCTGCCAGGACCGCTTCTGCTGGAGGGTGACACCACGCTACCAGGTGGACCGCGTGGGCTACCTGAAGTACGACGTCCTGCACTGCCCTGAGCAGTAGGCCCCCAGCCACCCCTGTCCCTGCCCCTGCCCCTGCCCCTCACCGCGGGGAGGCAGAGGAGCTGGCTCCGGGTCCTTGCCCGTCACCCAGCCCTCGGCGGGGTGGGGAGGCAGGTCCCGGTGCTGCAGGCAGCTGCTCCATGCGCTCCCCTGGCAGCGCCAGGGTCATTCAGGCAGCGCCTCCCTGCTGGCGCAGCCCCCGCCCACCTGCTCCAGCCCTGGGAGCCCCCGTGGGCGGGGAGCCGGACTCCAGCCGTTGCCCAGCGCTGGCGGGTCCCGCTGGCGCCCTGCCCTGCTGTGCAGGGTATTTGCCTGGTGCAAATTGCACGTATCCTTGTAAACTATTGTGCCCACCTGCTCCCGGAGCCGTCCCAGGAAGGCCCGTGCCTGGGACCTGACTGGGACCCGGTGCCCGGCACTGGGCCAGGCCGCAGCCAGCAGCTTCGGTAGGTGCGTGGAGCGGGGGCTCCGTGTCGTGCTCCCGCCTGCTGCCGCCTCTGTCATTTTTGTATCTTGCACAGTTTTAATAAACAGAATCCTTTGGAAACAGCTCGTGTGTGCGGCCATCTGTCTGCACGTCTGGCCGCCTGTCTGCCGGAGCGGGCTGGGGGTGCCGGGGGGGACACGCCTGGAGCGGGACACGGGGCTCCGGCTCCCCGGGACGCACAGTGCGGGGAGAGGGACGGGGCTGGGGAGGAGGGGCGAGGGGGCCAGAATGGGTGGGGGGCTGCCGACCCTCCCCCACCCAGGCTCGAGCCAGACTCTGGACCAGACGACTCCCAGGGTGGCCTTGGAGAGGGGTCACTGTGAGCTGCCACCATGTGCGGGTGTGCGCGCGTGTGCTGGCGTGGGTGCACTGGGCATGGCTCCCTGCTTGTCTCCCGTGGCTGGACTCCCGCACCCCAGGAGTGACGGCACGGCACTGGGCTGAGCACGGCTGGGTCCACCTGCACCAGCTGCATGGTGTGCACTGGGCTGTGCATGTTTGCACACATGTCCGTGCATGTCTGTCCCGTGTCGGAGTCTGGAAGCAAAGTGCCTCCACTCACCCTGGGGCGCTGCAGCTGCTCTGCCCCTGCCCCTGCCCCAGCTCATTCTCCCCCCAACCAGGCCAGTCTCGCTGGCATGTGGCTGTGGGGCCGGGCTGGTCCCAGGACCGCTCTACTTGAAGCTCACGGCTGTGAGACGGGTAAAACCGGGCAAAGCCAAAGCCCCCGGTCCTGGCCCGTCTGCACTGGGCAGAGCTGAGCCGTGCCAGGTGGGACAGCCGGGGTCGTTGGGCCATCCAGCGTGCAGGACCTGCCCCTCGCCACATAGCCCACCAGACCCCTCTGGTGCCCCGTGTCCCCCCCTTGCCATGCTGCGCTTTGTGCTCTGGCTCCGGGGTGGCTGGGCTGTGGGGGGCAGGTGGGGCACACAGGCATCCCTGACTGCTCCCAGCCTAGGTCCCGGGGAGGTGGGCTTGTCGGCCGGCCGTGCCCCGGGGCAGGGGGCTGGTGGCTGGTGCTGCAGCCTGGCATGGGCAGAGGGGTGGTGGGTGCAGTCGGCCGTGGGCCCAGCCGGCGTGGGGCTGGTGCCGCCCTGTGCCCGGCACCCAGGCCCGTGGCCGGTGCAGCCAGCATGGCACTGGGAGGGCACTAGGACCGAGCTCGCAGCCGAGGGAGGGGAACTGCTCACTGGGATCCAGCCAGTGCCTTGGCAGCCACTTGTGGAGACAGGAGCTGGAGCCGGCGAGGCATGAGCCAGAGGTTCACCGTCACCGCGCTGTCCCGGGAGGGCGCGGCCCCGGGCAGGCCGGGCGCTGCGGCCCCCCACACACCCCCTGGCCCGCTGCAGGGCGCCCGCACCCGTGGCCTCCCCGGAGAAGACGGCAGAGGTAAGCGATGCTCTGCAGGGCAGGGCGCGATGCCCATGGGCGAGGCCGCCGGGACAGGAGCTGTGTTCACCCTCCCCGAGCTGTGGGCTGGGCTGGGCTGGGCTGGGCACCCGGTGCAGAGGCCCTGGGGAGCGGTGCCCAGCAGCATCCATGTCCTAGCAGAGCTGGCTCCCACGGCCCCCGTGCCTGTTGTGGCGCCGGCAGGCTCTGATGCAGCCGTGCAGGGTTGCAGCAAAAAGTTGCTTCTCGCAGTGGGAGCGGAGAAGTGTCCTGTAGCCCGGGGCGGTGGGCTGGCGCGTGCAGCGTGGCGGGGGCCTGGGGCCGTGTCCGGGCATCGCAGGGCCTCTGCTGCAGACAGGGGCCACGTCCGGCTGGGAGACGTCTGGTTGCTCCAGGAAACCATCCGGCTGCAGCCCGTGTCCTCGGCACCAGGCCGGGCTGCTGGTCCGGTGACTCCTGGCCAGAGGGGTGAGGGGCTGCAAGAGTGAACCGCAGCCGGACTGGAGCCGCCGGGCCCCTCGGCCCACGCTGCCGCCCGCGCTGGGGCTGCAGTGCCGCAGGTCTGGCGGTGCGGGAGGTCGGCACCACGCGGGGTCCAGAGGTCACGGCCACTTGCATCTGTGTGGGGCTGGGCCACAGGCCCTGCCTGGGGGTGCCCGTGTGCTGCGTGGGGAGGTCTGGGCATGGCGCAGCAAGGGTGGCGCAGGCCACGGCAGCTGTCCCCCAGGCCTGGCCGTGGGTGCTGGGAGCGCTGGGTGCCAGCCCAGACCCCTGTCCCAGGCGCGCCTGGCCATGACAGGCCGGGGGGAGTCCGCGGTGCTGC